TCCTGCAACAAATTTTGCTAGATTTTCTATGTATGACCCATCAATGAAGACTTGGAGCCATTGATCTGCTCTTCAGTGAAGACTTGGAGCCATTGATCTACAGGATAGTTGTCATTAAAGACTTGGAGCCATTGATCTGCTCTTCAGTGAAGACTTGGAGCCATTGATCTACAGGATAGTTGTCATTGTAGACTTGGAGCCATTGATCTGCTCTTCAGTGAAGACTTGGAGCCATTGATCTACAGGATAGTTGTCATTGGAGACTTGGAGCCATTGATCCCAGGATAGTCACATTGATTGTCTCAAGGGCCAGTGAGCGCATTTGCTCGGGAGGAGTGTTTGATTTCCTGAAGAAGTCGAGCAGTTGGGTGCGACAGAAATATGTTATCTAAATTTAGGGTTTGTAGTCCCACTTCTCGTTTATTTAAAATTTTGCAACAAACCACTTGAAAAAATTCTTTAATAGCTCTCCATTTTTTGTAAATATTCATAAATGTCGATTAATCACTTACTAAATGTAACTGCTTGTGATATCATTGTAAAGAAATTCTATCAATAACAAGTAAAAGGGTTTTCAATTTAGTTTTTTCTCAACTTGTGAGTCAATAATTTCTTAAATATACAAATCTAAAATCTTCCCTTTTTGAATGACTGACTGAATTAGGTCGCTTAAATTTTCCAAAAACCAAACATAGTTAGTTGGGAAGGAAAAAAAGTGGATAGATTGATTGACGCTATTCTGCTTTAAGTTAATCAAAATACCAATTAACCTCACCACACCATCATTTGAGCTTTAGTAATCTCAAAATTATTAGTCTCTGAATGAAAGCAATACTGATTATATTCGTTGCATTGTTCATATCACCAATTTCAAGTACTTGAGGTCAATACGCTGATGACAACCTCTAAGGCTATGCTTTATAAGCAGATATGTCAGGACGAGTGGTAAAATGCAACCTCATTTTCGACCCCATTTCAAAACTACGTAAATTTTGAATTGTGAATTGACCTTTCATCACTTTTCGTTTGCGATTAGTCTATAAATATTTTATTTACTAATCGGTTCAATTTTCACCCAAATTAGACTACAAATTTTGTCACCTTGCCAACCTAAGCATGATCATTTTTTAACATTAGGATGATAATCAAACCTAATGTCATCTGTTTTTAAGTTTCCTAATAACTACGTAATCAAGTAAAACTCATTTGACTAGTTTATGGTATAATGAAATTTTGGAACCGGCACTAATTGGCACTAGATACATTCAGATTGGATACGATGTTTAAATCAAATACTCACATTCTTGATTTCACATGAAAATTGAAAAAGTCACACAACCGAATACATGAACTCAGATTTATTTGAAATAGTTGTTCTTTAATACATTCTTAATTAGATGGTCCCAGTCGTAATAGACGATGATTCAGATGAGGATGATGAAATTCGAGAAATTTATCGTGAGTTTCAAGATACAGAAGAAGCTGGAATTCCCATCACAATTGTTATGCTTGTTATTGCTACCTATGTCGCATTTGGGGCCTTTCTTTTCCGTATTTGGGAAGTCGACTGGACACCCATTGATGGAGCCTACTTTGCTGTCATCACTATTTCAACCATCGGTTTTGGTGATCTGGTTCCAGGAAATGGACGATTTGATCAGGTAAGCGGACCTTTCGATTACATTTAAAAGCACCGTTTTAAAACATTTAAAAGCGGTTATCTGTTGGCCCACTTAAAATTTGCGTCTGACTCCGGATATTTCAAAATGGAATATAATTGAACAGAAACACGGAAGTAGTAAGGGGTCCAATAAGAAGGAAGGAGATTGAGTTTGAAGAATGTTGAATATAGTTTGAGGAACACAACGTACCTGCTTCAATGGAGTTTGGGTTTGGATAGAGAATTTAGACCCTAGCGTAATATCCAGTTCAAGATTTAGGATTAAATTTTGTGTTCGAGTCTGTAAAGTTAGCTTAAACTGATTTGTTAAATTACAAAATAGCAGAATTGAAAATAGTGGTAAAACAGTAATAATGAAGTGTATGGACAAGGAAAAATTTCGTTGAATAGTCAAAAATTGAATTCTGTGCATTTACTACCCGGTATCTTTAACATCGATTCTCAATATGGCTCCCTTTTTAATCCTTCAAGTTTCATGTCAAATCAAATGAATTTGCTCCTTCTCAAAATCTCTTTCAAACCAATGCTGCATTAGAGTGAAAATGAAATGAGGAGATAGCACGATTTCTTGGAGACATTTCGAATGAATCAATGCTTATGAGTGCCAGTAGTTGCTTTAAAAATGTATCCTTTCTAATAATTTTTATTCCTCTAAGGTGCTTGAACGCCTCTCACTAGTTGCTTGAAGGATGTGCTTCTCAAATGGCCATAAGTCGCGGATCGACCAATCACAACCACGTTCGCGAATACGCTCACTGATAATAGATCCTAGGGTAATATTCGCGTCAGATCCAGCAAAAAGTCGATGGTGGTGTGCATATTTCCCCAACTGATCATTTTTCATTAAATTCCAGATTTACACTATAATAATCGCTCCCTCACTTTGTTTATAGACATGTCATTGAGGCCTATTTAATGTAGGAATGAGTTACTTTTGAGCCAGTACAGTGTAAATCCGTAGCTGGATTACTTTAGCCTTCACTGGAAACAGGTATGAATAGTTCATTCCAGGGAAAGGTTTTTTACCTTCAAGGGAATTAGAAGTGGTTTCAGAAATTAGCACCAAGGCCATCCTACCTAAAAGCTCATCAATATTGCAAGTTGTGAAGAACATAAGGAGCCAAAAAACAAATATCAATTAAGTTCGCGTCTCCTTATACAACTCGTATGGGCAGATTGAAAAAAAACAGCAGAATTATAATGAAACGCATAAAAATAGTGTCAAAAGAAATTTGTCCCTTTTCTGATTTTTACCTAGCCAGAAACAATAACAGAGCTGCTGATTGGAGCTCTATATTGCGTGGTGGGTCTCGCACTTCTCTCCATGTGTTTCGAGTTGATGAAAGAGGAATTTGTGGATAAGGTTCGCTGGATAGGTCGTTCTCTGCACATTGTCACCAACGTCGAGGACAATGAAATGAAGGAAGACGTCGTCGAGGAGATTGATGAAGGAGCCACGGGTGATGAACTTTGCCGAGATTGTTGTAATGAAGTGAGTGGTGCCGTCAATGGCAATATGTTATTTGAGGCAGCCAATAATACCAATTCGAAATCTTTACAATCAATGAATGCTCAGGAAAACCCACCTCCAAAAATGTTACCTGAAGAAGATATTGAAAAATTGGAAGTAGGCCATTTTAGATCCAATTTTGGCGGGGAAGTCAACGAAACGTTCGAAAGTGATGTGGAAGAAAGGACAGAAAATCAATAAAGGAGTTATAAACCAAGATGCGTAATTTGCACTCACTGAAAAGTCCCATATGACAAAGCTATTTAGTCATCTCACCCTCCCCCTCTCCACCAACAAATTGGGGCACTATGCTATTTTGTCTTTTAGTAACTTTAATGCACCATCATTTTCTGCAAAAGCGAGTCGTTTCAAAACTACGTCAAAGACTGCTTGTGCAATGCTTTCACTTACCTTTTAAGTCATTAAATATACTTTGATTAATAACATCGTAATTACAAAAAATTCCAAGCACGAAATCTCATCTAGTACCGTCTTACTCACGTTATAGTCATAGGAGTCCTTTAAGCACGAAAATCGATACATCACGGAAACGTCAAAAAGGTGCTAAAGCTCTCAAAATTAATATTTGTAACCTGATTCCAACTTAATTAGAAAAAAATGGTCCCACATTGACTAAACTACCCATCTATTTATTCCAAGAACGAAAACTAAAGACGAAGTTTAAATAGCGCTTTAGAGATTAATTTATACATACAAGTAGAAAATGGAACAGTTCTAATTAATGCATTTCAACTAATTGGGAGAACAAAGACAAATGTTCCACATTTACACAGGAAAACATTTTCAAAAATTTATTTACAACAAGTAATTTGTCTACAAAAACTGCATCTTCTGGCCAGTAATAGTCGATAAATCAGTAAGAAATTTGGTTCGCGGACCCTCATTCAAGCACTTCTCCGCCCTCCACCGCAAAGAAGGCAAACGTGAACAATCGCCAAGTTTTTCCTCAAACTCCAAGTACAGATGCCAGAAGTCTAAAAGTAACATTTAAAAATTGATATCACTCTTAAAATATCACATATTAACAAGATCAATAAGAAGTTCAGAAAACTAACCGGCCACTTTTGAACCCCAACTCGATGTAGCCAGCAGGTCCATTAAGCCTCTTGTATCCTGAACACGGGCATCCTGCTTGATTTTGAAATCTTGATACAGCTTTAGCATCTCATCCTTCGTTTCCGCCTTGTCAATCTTCGCCTTGGCAATGGTTTTAGCCACAACAAGGGCATATATCCGAAGAGTGAGTAGCTTCATCCACCTGGGGTCAACGGAGGGGTCAATAATTTGCAAAAGATCACTGGGTTTTTTGGCTGGTTGATACCATTCCTTCCATGTTGCAAATGCGGTGTCGATGTCACAATCGTTTCCAGTCTTAGCAGCTTGATCAAGAAGTTCCTGAAATCCTCTGTAATGGGCGTCAGCAGCTACGGTGGCTTCTTCAGATAAGGAAATGGAATTTAACTCCTCGTTGGCATTCTAATACAAAAGAAATTGATATTCTTAAATAAGACCTCATAATACTCGAAGCCGCGATCTATTACAACGATAATTCATATAAACGACAAACGACATAAGTGCTCCCTAGAGTTAAAGATCTTGGAACGCGATTTTCTAAACCAAATTGGATTTTTCCAAAGAGAATTATTTGTTTTGGACAGACGCTCACTTTGTGTACCAATCCAGCCAATTCAGTTCGCAGATAAGCTCCCAAGCTCACTTAAACGAACATTTTTCCAACATGCACTAGAGTAGAGCGATAATAAAATATAGCCGCCCTACTGTGAATTTCAGTTTTAACATCTCCATCAATCTCACACAGTCTGCGATTTGTACGCTTGTGCGTTCACTCTGTAACCACCGAATCCATATGCCAACATGCTAGCTGCCGTATCACCAAGACAATTGATTGCAATTTTTTTTCAAAGACAAATCTCGATAGAGGAATAGTTTTAAGATTATGAATACCAGTGGAAATTTTATTTGATGATTTTTGGAGTTAAAACCTCTAAAACCAGAGCGTAATTCGGTCTCAACCGACGCCCCTGACAGAGGTGTGATTCATCATTCTTTCGGGCGTATTCTCACACATAAGCACTAGAGTTAATTAAATATTCGCCTGCCAGAAAAAAAGATTCTACTTGATTGAGAAATAACAATTTAAAGAACACACAAAGATGCTTTTTTCGAGCAGGCAAGTGCTGGAATCATCCAGATATGGAGATATATAATAGACGTGAAATACAGAAGTGGTGCAAAGGCATTCGACAAAACAAGGCAGATTTAATGAGTAATTTTGGTTAAAATACGATTTTAAAGGCCAAATATGGAAGTTAAGAAACTTGTAAATATCAATTTGGAGTAAGATAAAACAACCTTATATTTTCTAACGCAGAAGAATTATAATTAGATTCTGAAAAAGACATATTTCTAGATGCAAAAATGTTTGACTAGAAAATAGCATTTAAAGGTGACACATAGATACAATTCATTATAAGTTAGAATTTGGGGCACCATGGCAATTGATTAAATAAGGATTGTCACAATAAATGAAAAAAATCAATGGAATGCAGAATTTTATCTAGCAGTAATATTAAATAACATTGTCGGAGAGACACCAGCTCTAATGAACCGAATTTAACACGAAATTACTAATAACTAGAATAAAAAAACAAATGTTTAAGCCATCACTCTAGTGAGATTCAAAAACAAATAGCTTAAATTCAGACGTGATGGATAAATTAATAGGTGCGCACTCAATCAATCCAAATTAGGATTTATCATGCACAAACCAAAGCTAGTAGATATACAAAAATGGTTCAATCTTGTGCTGGCTTTTACATAACTGAATTGAAATCAGGCAATTATTGTAAGTTCACATGGATACTTCTTGTATGCTACATGTAAAAGATGAAATAACTGAGGAGATAATCGAAATTCAATGAAAATCAAATATCAATGGCAAGAAGCAACAGAAAGTATGAAAGAATCCGAGAACGTACCTTTTCTCGCCTCCTTATGGCTTCAGCAGTTTCTGCTTCACACAGATCTTGTTGCCTGAAAAAAATTAAAATCGTAAATAATAAGATTACACATTTTGAGATACCGAAAAAACACTTAATAAAAATTAATATATTAAATGAGCTAATTGTTCATCCCATCCTCTTCTAATCAAGAAGGATTCAACGTTAAAAGCTTTAACGTTATTTGCTAACACAAGGCAAATTCTGTTGACTTCGGGATGATCAGACGTATTCATTGAAATGAGTAGTAGTCTCCCCACCCAAGTCAGAAACACTCAATTGGAAAATTTAAATATCCCCTACACTGTAAGCTATACATTTCAGAAATAAAAATTGGAGCTAATTGAGCTCTCAGGAAGTTACATAATTGAAGGCGCGTGAAGATGTGTAGGTTAATTCAAGACAGAAAAGTAAAGCATGCAAACAATACTGCATCATCTGTAGAAATGATTTTCAATAACAAGACATTAACTACCTTGTCCTAAGTTTGGCTAGGAGGTCCACGTCAGCAAAACCGGAGAACTTCTGAGCAATCTCCACTGCAGCTGCCAAATGCTTTGATGTAGCCTTTGGGAAGGTGAGAAAGCGCTCCAAGACCAATTTAAAGGCCCCACCCGACATAACAAAATCCACATCTTCGGTAACTTCCTTCATCTGCATGAGTAAATAAATCGTTACTTAACCGATTTAAGTATAAATATGATTTATTAAACATTAACTAACAAAATTTGCTGCATTTTCCCTTTCCTCTTTAACCTTCATCTCCGTCTCACGTTCAAGACGCTGAGCTCGTTTCGATTTTGATCCATTGTCCTCCACAGATTTCAATGCATCATCTTCCATATCGAGCTCTTGTGCCTTGGCTAGTCGCTTTGAAACACGTTTCGCAAAAAAATCGGCGGCTGCACCTTCCAGTTTGAGAAGTTCCAGCAAAAGATCCACAGAGTCCTCGTTGAAGGAAAGACCTTGAATGAGAAGTCGTCGGGCCTCTCTAATGCCTCGTAAATGACTATGATCCCAAGTAAGTTGAACTGAGCGGTTTAGGGATTGGCGAAGTTTTTTAAAATGGTAGGTCTCCATGCCTGAAAGGAAAAGATTGTTGGACAACCAAGTTGTTAGCTATTTTATCAAGAATCACAGTATTCAAATAATTCACATCATTAAAAAATATATAGCTGAAAATGAAAAGCCACTCGAAACCAATAACCACAAAATGCGAGAAATTTGTGCATATATCTACTGAACACATTCACTCAATATGAAGACATTTGAGATCATAAAGTATGTTATTTGCATAATTCGTGCGCATAAAACCGCCATTAGAATTGTTGACTTCAACTATTTAGTATTCAATATTCTCTACTAATTTAAAGTAACATACAGAGATAAGCCATCTGTATTAGTAAATAGGAACTGACGAGCCTCGACCTCACGATCTCCACGTGGTGCCATCACTGATCAATAGCCGGATTCGCATGCTCATTTGAAGAAATGATTCGATGAAAGAGTTCGCAAAGAATCGACTAAAAGTCTACACCGATAAATGTCAGCCCCAAATCATGCATTAGAAATAGTCTCTTTGTAACAATTTCAACTCTGTCGCTTGTACTGGTTGAGTTAAATCTCACACTGCAATGAGACAAACTCGACTCAAGAAGTAGAACCACAAAAGAGACAGATTTAGCCCAGCTCATTACATCTAACCTGTTTCAGAGAAAGCAATAGGCCAGCGCCGAATGGATTGACAATATATTGGGTAACCAGAAACTGAGCATGAATTCGTTAATAGTCTACTAATTAACCATCAAGCCTGGACCAATAATAGCACAAATACATATTTGTTTTGAATTCATTCAAGATAAAACAAATATGAAATGAGTTCCATTGTTTTGGCAGTTGCAAAATTCTAACCTGCAATATCATTATTCTTTTAATTTTTTGAAGCGAAAAAATAACCTTTTAATTTGAAAGCGAAAGGGGGAGGGATTAACTATCAAACACAAATAGAACTTTAAGCAGTGAGCAAAAGAATTCTTCGCATCCAAATAAAATATCATAAAAATAAAAAAAGATATAATATCCTAAATACCAAAAAGTAAAAAATTACATACGCAAAAGCGTTCGCTCCTGGGGACAAGTGGGGTTCTTCCCAAGACGTCTCAACTTTTTGGAGGCCAATTTAAGAGCGTGACGCTCATCCTTAAGTTTTGATAAGCGCGATCTTGCCTGGGCACGACAGCCTTCGTTTAAGTGGAACGCAGCAGCTGCAGCCCAAAGTCGCGGATCTGTTCTTCCATGAACCTGAAGAATTCGTTCCCATAAACGAACCACAGCCATGTGACGTCCAAGCTTGCGATTGAAATGCAGAAATCGCATCCACACATCCAAATGCCCTTGAAATCTGTAGCACGATTGCTAAACAGAGGGTCAAAAATAAGAATAATAAAGATACTCTGTGAAGACGAACAAGACGAGAGATAATAGATTTCTCAATCTCATCTTTGAATCTATAATCCATTGTCTTTATTCGACGCAGTCCAATGAGCCGTAAAATGCCAAGCTCCGTAGCAATGTAGGAATCATAATCTGATATTCTTTTATTGCGTTTCTGAATGTTGTACTCGTGTTGTCTTCTAAGTCGAACAATCTCTCTAAATATTTTAAATAAGTTTTAACGAGTTGATTCACCTTATTTCAGCTTCATTGAAGAGTTTTGCCTTCCGAATATGGGTAATCTCCTCAAGGCTACTCTCTATATTACGCTCGACCACCTCGGCCATGTGTTAGCTTAAATTTAGTTGAAATTGATGAGTAATTTTAAAGAAATAATTCATCACAATATGAATATAACAAGTATGTTATTTTAAACACAAATATTTTTCAATAATGATTTTTATATTTTATTATTTATTGTAAATTTAATACATAATAATATTTTGCATCTATATATGAATCAAAGTAAATAAGCTTTAGCCATCATATTTGACACCGTAATTTAAAACCTTCGCTTAAGTTATGGCCATATAACTTTTAGAATTATATAAGATCGATAAGGGAAAAGGCATTATAAAATTGTTTCAGGATTGATTTGGAATCTATAACGAATATTTGTCCAACAAAACATTCTGCTGTTTAATCAAAGTTCATTGTCTTGGAAAAACTAAGTATTTGTTCTTTAAAATTTTATCATGATATATTTTTAAATTTGTATAAATTATGTTTTAGATATTTTTATAAGATTTTGTATATGGCTCGTTTTTTATTCATATCGCTGGTTTGAAATAATAGCGAGCCAAGCGTTTCGAGAACGTATTCTTTTGTAGAATTTTACATATCATGTTAATTTATCTATGACGGAATGAAGAAGGCTCAAAAAATATTCATAGCATTTGAAAATCGATATCATTTTTATATATTTATTCACTGAAATGATTTTAATCCTCATATTTTCCTAATAAATTGACATTTGCAAACACTTAAGTTAATGCTATTCAAGGACTAATTATTTTAAAGCGCACCTAAGCTTTTTGGGTCACTCTACTTTTGCTTTTCGTGTGAACTCTAAGAGTATTATTTATTCTTCCATAATATTATACAAAACTTGAATTACAATATTTATTGACAAAATATAAGTCGTTAAAACAGTGCCATGTCCTCAAATAGACTTTTTGAATGCATGCCGGACTTGTCTAGGTTAAATATTTGTTTACGCACACTGATACAAAGGCGTATGTTCAATATTGTTTAGGGGCTCCGGATTTTTCGGTATGTTAATGATTACTAATATCCTCACATTTTGTAACTATTTTGCATTTATTTTTAAATCATTTGTGCATATTTTTGGATTAAATGTGTTTTTTATTAATAAATTTCATCCTTTCGAGCAAACAAATCATTCATGATTAATAATTCATACCCTATATTTTATGCATTTTGAATACATAATGACAATGTTTACATTTTATGAGATATTTCTTGTGTTATTACTTCATTTATTGACGACCAGTGGTTTTGAACATTTCTTTGAATTACAATAATTTTTGACTTTTTGCAATATTACTGCTTTGCTGAAAATCTGTATTTATATTGAATTATATTATTTAAATAATAATTTTTAATTTTAGAGACATTTCATATACTATGTCAAAACTTATTGAATATATTTCAGCGATAAAGGGTAAGTAGTGCCCTCATGGTTTATTTTTTCCCTTGACTTTTAACAGAAGTTGTATATTTAAGATATTTTGATACCGCCACAATTGGTGTCCATTTGCCAATTCGTCATAGAAATATTTGTTAAATATTGCACCAATCGTCTCAACTTTGATTATCTATCTCTCTATTCTCTCGAAATTTAGAACTTATTGTTGATGCTTAAAAATGTTCTAAGCATTTATTAAATTAATCATTACTGCTTTAAGGTTTTTTCTCTTTTCTCATTTATTCTTCTCTTATTGAATTTGAAAGTAGTGTCGTCGTCTCTCTTTTCATATCGAATCTTTCACTTTCAATGTATAAAGTCTCATAGATCTTTTATCAATTAAATTTACTTTTCATCTTTTTTTCTTTATTTATGTATAAATAGTAATTAGATTTTCCTCTAGTGCTTCTGGTGGATTAAGTTCGAGCTTACCTCCTCTAAGTGTGTCCTTTAGAATTCTCAACGGGAAGTTAATTTGGTATCAAGAGTTTTCCTACCATTCTGTTATATTATTTTACATTTGCCTACTGATGATTTGCCTATTCATAATGTACTCTGGTGGGTCTGTGGGCACGTCATCGCATGCCTGCACGCCAAGATTGGGAGGTGCGACCGTGCAAACAGTGACCAATCATTAACCTCTGTTTGTTTAACCTAATCCGCCATCCTGATCATGGTTAAGCTTCCTGCGTAGACACTTTGTTCGCAATACTCGTACTGAATAAACGTGCTCCGTGCTACATGTCTGTTTCCTTTATAACTGGGCTATAGCTTATTTGGTTCTGGGAGTCTAGCTAGATGTTTGGGAATCTGCTACAGATCTTAAATCCTCATTTTCTTGTGCTTTTATTATTAATTTTGTCTTTTTTATCGATTTTTAATGAAATATGACGTCAAAGTTTGCTCACTCCTGTTGGCATTGATAATTGCTATTATTATGGTACTACCTGATCACAGGCTATGCAAAGGGTGGATATGCTGTTTTTCACTTCGTTAAACTTGTATCATTGGTGTTAATCCTCGATTTGCATCTCTTGGGCCTCAGCTTTGCGCTGTAATACAATTATATTATCCACTTCTTAAAATGGTAACAAATGGTATCTACAATCTTAATGCTCCTGGACTGTCTTGATTGTATTCCTCTTTTAATAATGCTGATTCCACATAGTCGTATTAGTCTATCTCTTATTTTTATTTATAATGTTCTATGAGAACACCTAGCTACTTGTAGCGGTCAAAGCGAATCCCTGTCAAGCTTGAAATTAAAAGGAACCGTGACTATCCAACGAAATGAACAACCAAATTTACTCTATAAATAAACTCAAAAGATGTGACAGAATGGGAGTTTTTCATCAATGTGTGCTTTTTGGAATGAGCGTCTGGGGAATATTCTGACATACGGTTGTGAAAATGGTTGGTATAAATGTGTATAGAATATTTACAATTAGATTTCAAGTGAGCAAGCTTGTTTAGGCTTAGGCATCATAGGTTCTTTTTGAAACTTTGTCTATGGGCATATGGCCATTTAGGCATTCATTAGATTCGTTGCTAGATGTCGAACTTGTGTTCTCTGTTCAGGGTAAATTTACTCTGCTATCACTTCCTAAATCAATCGTTAGATTAATAATCTGCGTTTTTTCAGCATGTTTGATAGTATATATATATATCCCTAAAATTTACTAATTCTCTCAATTTACCAACACTCTCCCTTGTAAAATGTTGCAAAAAATGAAATATTCTTTTTCAAGTCATTGCTGTTTTGCCCTGTTCAGTGTATTTGGGCGTTTTTCCATTGGTTTGAATTCCACTGACCCCAATTTTTGCACTCTCGTGGCATTATTGCTATTTCTTCTCAGTATTAATAAAGTACTTTGATCTGTTAAACTACAGAACTTCGGTCACCGTTCTTCTCTCTGTTAGTGCATTCTTCTAGGTAAAATTTACTTTCATTGGTAATTTGTTTAAAATAGATAGATGTTTACCACCACTGTGTTCACTTCGGGCTTAACAAAAAAAGTGATATATATATATATATATATATATATATATAGTTGAGTCACAGTCGGCCTTTTCTCGGCTTAATATGTCATGTTGCCAAATCGGTATCATCACTTTGGGAAGAAAAGTGGTATACTTTATAGAATCCGCTTTCTGGTATCTTGTTCGATCATGAACGAGTGTCTCGATCACTGGTCATGCTCCAATGTGCGTCCCATCACTCTTCTCTTTGTTAATAAGACTCATTTAAATTTAGTTCAAGTTCATTCAAAATGCTTAGTCATGACCAGTATTTCACTATTTACGTTGTATTTACGAAATGTTTGAGCAAATAAGAAACTTCTCGCTACTATGAACAAAAAAATAAAAAAGGAAGAGCCTATTAAAAGGTTTGAATTTAGTAAGATCCTTCATCAAATGAAACGTTTTTGTTGTGCTTACTGGATGTTTTTTATACTCAGGCTTTCACTTTTGTTTTGCAGTGAGCAAATTGCAATGTCTTTTCTCGTATTCATATTTGTGTGAAATCTTTCGGAAATTGTTTTTTTGAAATACAGTAACGCCCAATCTCCACTTCCTTGTCTGGCATCAGTCACTTTAGGAGGTTATAGATCACGGTTTCGATTCCCAAATGGCTAGAATTGCTCGATTGTGTGTCAGCAGAACGAGTTTTTTTCTCTCTTTCTATGCCTCTTCCACAATTGAGTGTTAGAAATGACTTTCCAAGTAATCCGGGAAGTCTGCTCACATCTCTGTTCGAATTGTTTCTTATTGTAATTGACAGCCTTGCTTCTACCGACCCATCTAGACTCTAAGCTATGGAATCGGAGATTAGATTGGTTATTGGTTTGTCTACTTCACTACTTCCAGCGGTGTTACGTCTATGAGATCGTGGAGAGGAAAGAAACATACTCCTAGAGATACTTTGCCTTTCTCATTTCATGACTGATAATACAGATTTACCTTAAGATTGATCTATCGAAGGGTGAGGATGGCTTTGCTATCTGCGATCTTGGCTTGGAAAGTGTGGAAAGTTATTTCTTACTGCTTAGTACAGCTAATGAAACGAAGACATGTTTACGACGGAACAAACTTTGGTAGAAGCAAAGACGCGGAAGCCACGTAAAAGAAAAGTAGGAGAGTCTGATGAGTTTGCCATTCTGATAAGTAAAGCCTTTAAGTGTTAAATTAGGATTACTTTTTTCTTTGAAGATGATGGACACTCAGAGTTAGGGTTTCGGCTGTGCTATGCTTAGAGTAAGATGAGGAGGAGGGATATTGGTAAGTTCCTAGCTTTGTAGTATATCATATCAATACAGGTTGGTTATAAGGAATAAGTTGGGCCGCTTAAACACTCGTTTTAGTGTTAACTCTCTTAGTGAATCATTTGCCATAAATCTGATGTAACGTTAGTGCAATTTCGCATTTTAATTTTTTTGCTTATCTAAAACTCTTCACTCTTCTGTACATTTGATTCTAGTGTTTCTGTTTTTTTGCCTTTCAGACCTTCGATTCCTGAGATATGCCTCGCTGGTCTTCCTGACCCTCCAGAACGTCGTGGTGGTGTTGATGTCCCGGTATGTTCGCTCTCAACCCGGTGACATGTTCATTGCTTCCACCGCTGTGGCAATGAGCGAGATAGTCAAGTTCGTTGTCTGTTTAGGTCTTGTGTGGTTCATGGAGGAGAAGGGGAGCATTCGGGGCTTCTTGTCGAACATTCGCAGAAATCTTCTCTCCGATTGGCGAGATAACCTGCTCATTGGTGTCCCCGGTGTCATCTATGCTATTCAAAATAACCTAATCTATGTTGCTGTCTCGCATCTCAATCCAAGTGTCTTTCAAGTGAGTCTTTACCGTCTTATCCACTCCTTTTCAAGAGTGTACTCTATTTGGGCATTAAACTGAAAAGTGCATATTCATTTGGTTGGAAAATCGTTGTCCAATCCATCTTACTATTCTTGATATTTATAGCTTGTTGGATTCTTATTTGTTTAAGCCTTCCATTTATTCGTAATTTAGTTTTCAGCTATTAAGCTATGATTGCATATACAGTGTGACCTAAAGGTCAAGCCAAATTTTGGCTATCATAAGGCTGACCTTTTAAGGTCTGGCATATTCGTATCTAAATAGATTTCAAGAACCGAAGATCTCTGTTCCGGTACACACGAATCAACAGCTGGGCAATGACGTAATGGCACTTTAACTTCTCCATGCACTTACTCCTTTTACTTAGGAAATCGATTGTTTTTGTTTTGTACCTCCGCTGTCTGATACATATTTATTTGTTTATAGTTTTTCTATGTTCAAATCAGTTCATTTGCATGAATAAGGAAGTTTTGATTAAGGTGGGAGGGGACTGTAAAACTTTCATCAATTTGTTGACTCGAGGTTTGAAGGAAAGTATATCTATCATATATGTGGTTAATTAGGGGGGGGGGGGGGGGGGGGGGGGGAAGGGGGGTGACTGCACTTTCGTCATATCAGTGATGTCCACTGAAGGAGATTGACAACTCGCGATTAGCGACCATCAAGTACATCTAGAGGCACATCTGAAGTAAGTTTTCAGAGGCATTAATTACTTGGGTTTGTAGAGTGGTGACAAACGAATGTTTTATCTGGTTTTCCCCTTATTATTCGGCAGACTATACCTGCTATCTTCCCCCAGTTTTCAATACTACAAGGGGTTAAAGAAATAAGTAACTATAGTATTGACCAGGGTGTTTTTCGAGTTGAGAGGACCAAGAATCAGGAGAAAGAGGGTGAAGGGCGACGCTGATCACTTTGACTACTGACAACACTCCCCTTTTGGATCGAAGACAGTGAGTGGAACTAGACATGGTAGGCACACCAGCAGAAAGTTATACATAACGGTGCGTGGTTCTTGGTGTGTGTATGAAGAGGTCGAGGTTCATGTGCTTCGAGATGCTTACTTTGGGGCTGAGGGAAAGTACCTGCTGTGGACGCGACTGCAGATACTTAGTTCAAGTCACTCAGAGATGTGGACAAAGGTTGGTGACGAATTGTAAAGTGGTGGAGTCAGACGGCAACATATCCCTGATCCCTCATTATGTACTGGCTCAGTGAGTGTTCAATACCGCATTTCCCATGTTTGGGTGTAATTCAAGCTGTCTGCTGCCAGATCATGAGTGAATCAGAGTCGTTGTTGACGAACTGTGTAGAAAAATGTAGAAATATTGGCAAAAAAAGTTAACAGAAAAATATTCACGCAGTAATCTACGTGAAATTCTCATTAAAATGCCTAGGTAGTAGAGCTGAAAAGTTATAATTTTTGAGGAGAAACTGTCATCTCTACTATTTTTAGGCTGTAGGTTGCTGAATGTCAACTTTCTATTATTTTTTCCATCTCAGCAATTGAGGAAAAAAATTGATCGAGTTACCAGCACCGATCCTAGTTGATTGATAATCCAGTCAATAAGCATCGGACATCATAAACGAGTGTTTGCTGCAGTTTAGGCAACGATTCATGAAATTCAAGTTGTTTTGGAACATCAACAACGCACTCGGTGAACACATTGTACTTACTGCATCTTAATTCTGATCTCTTTGCACTCCTCTCTCTCTCCATTCTTTTTGCTAATGGATTTAATTTACTTCTCACAATTTAAATTCATATATGGCTAATAATGGTGGCAGTGATTGTGTAATAGGTAAGTATGTGCATTCACTGGGAGTACTTACTCATAGTAACTGTTTGATTTAACTGACATCAAGTTGCTGCGCGTTAATTGTTGCAAAATTCAAAAGTGGGCCCTTACCTTTTTGATTGAAATCGAATCTTTGATTTTTTGTAACTCAGTTGCTTTTTTGGTTTATTTACCGAGGTTATTATCACAGAAATACAGCAAAATGGTTTACCTTAAATTTCAACTCACCATTAAGGAGGGGGGGGGGGTTCAAAAATGAGTTACTCTCTTTCCAAAATCCAGATCTCTTTCATTGTCCCCTGGATTACCTCAAACTCCTCTCTACGATGCATAACACCCATTGAATGTCTTTTGATCAGAAATAGCCTGCCTATCGTCTCGTTTAATTCTTTTTCTCACTGACTAAAATGACAAAGTGATTTTGCACAATCCCAGTGTTTCTCCTATCTTCGATTAACCTTGGTTCAAAATTTTAATCTCTAAAGCTAGATTATACTCCAACTTGGAACTCTATTTTGGTTAATAATGTGCCCATTTTAATTTACGTCTAGTGTGTGTGCGTGTGTGTGTGTGTGTGTGCTATGTGACGCCAGTTGCAGGCCTTTTTCCCAATGAACTTCAACTTTTCTCTCACCCCCCCCCCTCCCCAAATTTTTTTCGATTTTGACCTGGTTGATTAGTTGCGACTGAATAGGCGAATAGTAATTGAACAAACCTAGTTCTCAGGCGCCCTTTTTCTCCACAAGATGTTGGCAAACCACTTCTCACCTCCTATCATCTACTTATAATTAGTTGAAGTGTGGAAAATCTTAATAAATGTTTCCATTTTTATCGCATTGCTTACTCCTATGAATATTGCCATGTGCACTAGCTTTTTTCCCCATAAGTACTCAGCCATACCTTATTTTGATAATTAGTGAAAGTGGTATAACACGCAAAAGTTTCACAGATAAACCAGTTGTACACTATTGAAATACATCAAGTTACCTGCATGGGTAGAACAAATATCAACCACACTTATTTCCTAGTCTTAGTCTTCCCTTGATTGCTTCTGAACTCCTGTTGGAGTTTCGAGAACCTCTTTGTGCTAACTCCTGACAAATTTTCGACGAACAAAAGAAATGCGTCTCGACTACGTCACATTATTTTACTCCGGCATCTACATCTGTTTTAATGGTCAAACCGGACTTGTTCAACGAAGGAGATGAATCGCCCATATTCAAGTTGCTTTCTTTCGAGTGGAGCCGGGATACAACGGATATTACCAGAGGCCAACAGCAGTTAGTCAGTACCTTTATGCCTGCTGACAAGAGTTTAGAATTTCATTTCATTGCGGAAAATTGTGATTGCTATTGGCTGAATCACATTCAACACACTCTACTAGCTTAAGAAATTTGTAAGGTGGTAAACTCGAATTTTTCTCACTTTGACGTTCCTTCCCTCTGTGAAGCCCGAAGTCAGCTAAGTGGCTAATACTTCCCCTCTGTGAAGCCTGAAGTCAACTAAAGGGCTAATACTTCCCTCTGTGAAGCCCGAAGTCAGCTAAATGGCTAATGGCATTTATCAAAACGCCTGCCATTTGAAATAAAGACCAATCGGTAACTATCATAAAGCCTCCCATTTGAAATAAATAAACACAGTTAATATCTATAATTATAAAAGCAATAAAATTTTTAATTGAGGCCATAAACATGTCATTAAACAGCACTAGGCTAGGGGGGGGGAGGGGGAGGTTCACTGACGAAGTAAAGAAAGCTTGTTGGTTCGAGAGCCCTCCGCAAATACTAGGAATGACACTTGCCTTTGCCAAAAGTGCTTAATATAATCTATAAAATACAAATTTGGCTGTCTTAATTAAGTTTGAGCTGAACAATGGACTGTGGAGGAGAAGTTCAAATTTTGCGAAAATCTCACAGTTTTGGTTGATTGGGTGCGCTGAGTCCTATAGTCACGAGTGTTATTTGGTTAATAAATGGCGTCGATTTGAACTTTTTTAATAGAAAATGCACTGAAATGCTTGTTTCTCATTATTCGATACACCAAAAATTCATTCTGTCCTAATTTGCTACACTGAGCTTGGAGATCACCAAGCTTTAATTAGTGTCATGCTAGGTATGCAATTTGTTTCAATAGGATAAATATTTTTAGCTTATTGGCACGAAGTCTGTTGTCAAAGACACTATTTGGCTTCGGGTTACAAAGCCTTTACTTTGGTATTTAATGCGGGAATGGAAACCAATAAGAGATTATTGGACTTGAAACAAAAATTTCCGCTCCGGTTCGGTTGTAATTAAAGTCGCTTGCCCTTACACCACCTATCATATGCTCGCGGTGACCCGTAGGTTTACTCATCCTAGGGTACCACAGACAACCTCTCTAGTCGTTTGTATCCATGCCTTCTGATTCCCTCTCTGTCAATTACACTACACGTCTCTCATTCCCCTGCTATTTTCCATTACCGATATCCCAATTCAGCACCTAATGACCTTAAGGGCACCATTAACATCGCAACGCTGTAGTTCTTAACCTCGTCGCGGTCTTCCAGTAGCTTTACTATAGGGATTGGTATCATCTTACTTATTTCTGTGGGACTTAGAGAATGTTTTTTGGTGCTAAACTACTTAAATATGGGGATGAAATTGTTGTACATGTTCTTTTCCAGGGATGATTATTCACTTGCTTTTCTTTCTCCCGTTCAAATCAACTTTGTCTGTTTGCAGATGAAAGCTTACACCTGAATTGAAGAAACTTAAACGTTTAGTTATGTCGCCACTCCCTTAGCTATAGTCTGCATAGCCACCATTTGATATAGCCTGAGGAAATTTGCTTTTCTATCTAAAGACGTTTTTTTCTAATCTTATCTACTAGGTAACGTATCAACTGAAAGTTTTCACCACTGTTATATTCTTCCGTCTCATTCTTCACCGCGTTCTCACCTCCAAACACTGGATCGCTCTCTCCCTTCTCTTTGTCGGCGTTATAGTTGCTCAAGTTGACCCTCAGAATGCCACCGTATCTTCTGTTAACAGTAGACCTGATCAAAGTCCCGTATATGGGTTCATTTGTGTAATCGTGGCTTGCTTCCTCTCTGGTTTCTCTGGTGTATTCTTTGAACTCGTGCTCAAATCCACTCAAAAGACCATCGTTCTACGCAACATCCAACTCTCAATCTATGGCATCGTTGCTAGCACAGCCCAAGCTTTCATTCAAGAGAAAAGTGTGATTGTTGAACATGGCTTCTTCTTCGGTTACAACAAGTATGTATGGTTTGTGATTTTGCTGCAATCACTTGGTGGTCTACTAGTGGCAGCGGTCGTGAGATATGCTGATAACATCCTCAAAACATTTGCAACTTCCGTAGCCATTGTGCTTACCCTGGTGGCATCAGTTTTGCTATTCAATACTGCCTTGACAATGCACCTTGCATTTGGAAATATATTGGTAATTGGAGCAACAGTGATGTATGGCATGTTGCCACCACCGAGGCAAGTGGCTCCAATTGCTCCAATTTTAGTGGAGGAAGATAGACGGCCTCTCATAACTAATGATGATTCTGTGGTGATTACGATTCCGGAGAAACCTACTGATTAGTCGAGTTAGATGGGCTATTAAGCCTTCCTTCACTACCTCCCTTTTTCTTCCTCTTATTACTCTTATTTCTATTCAATATCATTATTTTGTATTTGGGTTTATGTCTGTAATACATATTAGCTGTAATGTATGTAATAACAGTTACTGTTCCTGTTAAATTATTTTCGAATTTTCAGTTAGCATCATGTGCGAAATGTTTAACTGAGGAATTCGTTTTTGTTTAGCTTAATTTCACCTTATTGTAAGGGGTGTGCTTGTATTTGTCACTGGTGTTATATTTAACTGTTAGTGCAAGATGAACATGCCGGTTTTTTTCAGCTAGTACTCCTCTTTGTCAAAGCAGAGATGCAGGGAGTGGTGGCGTAGAGTCGAGTTGGAGTGATAAAAAAAATCAGCGAACTGAACTACATGCGGCTTTGAATTAGAAGTAGAATTTATTGGTTTATATGAACAAAAATGTGAATACGATGTGTAATTCCCTTAATGGGCAGAAAGTCTTTCGGTAGGCAATAATTTGGACTTGGTGGGAAATTAATTTCAATTTCTGCGGCGGTTGTTTATGCCAAAGTACTATTGTCTTTGAGTTCAATCCTACATCTTGATTCACTTGTGTTTCTTCACCTTTATTGAAGATCAAATGACGTACTCCAAAAGCCTCAGGTTTCAGAACGACATTGGTGGATAAGAAATAACTTTTGAAAATATCAAGAGAATGAACCTCAAATAGGAAGTTCACTGTGGCCATGATGAGCATTTCCTACTACCAGCGGGTAATCAATTTCAAAGTCGCTAGAACACCACTTCAGCATAGAAGCGTTTAAAATATCCGTGCAAATTAGATACAACTGGGGCCGCTTAGGAAGCGTATTTCTCTTAGTCTTAAACCTAGACAGTGAGTACAACTGCAACTTCTTTCATAAATGCTAAGTGATACTTAATAGCATCAGTTCAAATACTCTGAATTTAATAATCCTGCCGGATTCATAATATTTATTTTTTTTTTATTTCAAATGGCAGGCCTTTTGATAGCTATCATTAGCCATTTGGCTGACTTCGGGCTTCACAGAGGGAAGGTTCATCAAAGTAGCAGAAAGTCGAGGGGTGGGGAATAGAAGAGCGATTCACAGATGTAAAAGAGGCAGACAGACATAACGGTAGGGAAAAAGGTAAGATGAGTACTGAGGAAGGGGTCGAATATGACAAGCAGTTGGGCCATGGTATTTTGAAGTCAGAAGTCAAATGCCGGTTAATAGACTTTTTTGCCGTATGAGTATACGTTGCCCAGGGTGCACCACGTGGAGGTAAGTCTATCGCGCAGCCCGGATTCATAATATCAACGTTAAGATTTCGTTGAATCGATAATTTACGCTAATGCTTTAACTTCATTATTTATCGGCATAGAACTCAGTAATATGTTTATATTTAGAAACTCCATAATTATCAAGAATATACCTTACTAGATTTCTTAATCTTCAATTTTTTAAAACTCTCAAATTCCGGTTTTAGCCATTCGTATTAATTTATTCTGATGCTAGTGTTTTCGGCTTCCGTTTGTGATGTAAGATCTCGCATAAGCATAATATTCAAGCAAAAGGAATGAGTGTGGAATTAACTACCTTAATCTTGAAGATCATGACTATTCTTAACATCAAACATAAATAAAATTGCCTATGTTAACTAAAATGTGTGAAATTGCATTTGACAGTTTGATTTTCTCATAGGAGCCACACGACGCCACTTTCATTCCAAAGAGTGCATGTGAGTTTGGATTTTATAATGAAAAAGCAAAATATGAGTTATTAGTATCATCTTTTCTAACTGGGTATAATAATCGATTATGAATGAATATCCTTCCAAGAGGGTTTGCATAATAATAATGCGTATATTTCGGCATAAATTTAATTTAAAATTATTACATTTAATAACTGAGCAAAGAAATTTCCTGCTCCTTCATCTAAGCTACCTAAGAATTTTCTATTGAAGAAAAGATTTATATTAAACGGTAGGCTTTATGATAGTCGTCATAAGCACTTTGGTTGACTTCGGGCTTCATAGAGGAGAGGACAATCAGAGTCTCAAAGATCAGAGAATGTGAACAGAAGAGTGCTTCACATATGTAAAGGTGACAGACGCAAGGTTGGAGAAAAATGTAAGGTGAGTACTGTGAAAGTGGTCGAATATGGCATACAGTCGGGTCATGGAAGTTTGAAGTCAGAAATTACTTGACGGTATGTAGGCCACTTTGCCGTATGATAATACGTTGCCCAGAGTGTACCACGTGAAGGTAAGTCAATCGCGCACTCCATAAGTAACACTTTTTACCTATTTAAAATTCCATTTAACGGGTACTCAATTTTTATAAGTAAAATAGAGTGGTTTCTGAGCATAGCAAACCAAATTAGTGTTTTTGAATTTCCAGAACTAGGAATAAATAAATAAGAAATTAATTTTCAGAGCCTTCGAAAAAACGATACAAAGCACTAAAATTACTTCTAAAATCATAATCAAATGGTTGTGAACAACATTTACCTTTTGAAGAGGAAATAAAACTTATTACATATTTGAAAAACGATTCGCTTTATGAAATCAGCCTACC